GTCCATCATCTGAAAGTCACAGTCCTGATTCTCTGGGTATATCTGGAGAAAACAAGGTATTGCACAGGTATTTTCAAACTCCTGTTTCACACATTCGTACTCCACATATTGTGTGATACGAGATATACATCTGAAGCAGGATTAGCAGGCAAGTAGCCTGCTGGAAGTACCAGTCTTGAAGGGAGGAGCTAAGGTTTGTCGTAGGCTGGATAGTGACAGCATCCACTGGCTAGAGCAGGATTTCATCAGAAATCTTCTCATAACAGCACTCTGAGTTCCTAACAATGATGAAAAGATGAAGGACAGGGAAGGTGAAATTAATGAATCCCTGCATCAAGATGATCATCCAAGGCCTCTCATACATGCTTCCTCTCATTTTTCCATTGAAAAATGGAGGAGAAAGGTAGGGGAAAGTCACCATTGGTATGCACGTGAGAGGAGTCATTGGTGGAGATGAAAAGGTTCATCTTGCTTGCTAGGCTCCAGGTAGAATAAAGGGAGATGCTCATCTTCCCACCTTCCTGTATTTTCCTTCATTAAGTTCCTCAATCTTTTATCATAAACATCCAAGTCTGTCATGCTTCTAGATGTACAGTATATCCATTCCTTTTCCACGTGTATACATGAATGGAACTGTTCAAATCACTTATTCAAAATGAAGACATTTTTCCAAACAAACTGAGCAGTCACCATTCTCATTCATCCTTGGGTCTCTGAGTGGCTATCTATTTATTTAGGGTACTGTCAAATCTCCTTTCCACCCATCCATTCATGTCACTTAGCAGGATAATTTGTTTTCCCTTTGATAATATGCATTCCAGAGGTTTCTCAGTTTTTTCCCCAAATTCATATCTAATTCTTCTAGTATCACCATTCACTGGAGTATAACATTCAGCTACCACCAACATATCCCTACTCTCGCATGGACCCATAATAACTAAAATGACACCAATTCATACTTTTTGACATACATATTAGCCCTTCAAGAATAAATGTTTTCACTGCCCTTTGTTTCAGAGGATTAGCCCAGCTTCACTTTGTTACATCTTTCCCCCCCTTCCTTAGTTTCACAGGCACACAACATTTGTTTTTCTTGCTTTTGTGTTCCTTACCATTTACTGCTCTTACATTCCTATTGCAGTCCTCCATATGCTGTGTCATCACTAGATGGACCCATCAATACCTGTACCACCTTGTAGTGTTCCCTGCTAACAGTGAGGATGATGCTGGACAGTTTTGTTATACTTTGGCCATTATGTCACAAGGGCAGCCAAAGACCAATTTTACTCCAATGATGCTCACACTATTCTGTGCAAGTTGGATCTCTAATCTGGAGACTACCTTGCAAGCCAACCTTTTGTTATCCACATCCCACCAACTAGGAGGAATACTCATTTTATTGACACACGCTGAGGAGGCTTCTGTCATTCAGCATGCTTCATTTACTGCTTTCACTTAGGATATCTCTGTTATTTCTGATATGCAGAATGATTTTGTCAGCTGTGTGCAAAATTTCTCATCTGAACTACTGCACGTTCTGTTTACTCTGCTGTTTATTGGAAAAAATATTTGCAGTTAATACTGTATGCATTTTCACAAACACTTCTGAAAATCTGTAATGCGGGCATTTTAATGCTTTTCTTATATGGGGATTTAGAGTAACCAGTTTTTCTTTAGGAAGTAGCATTTTGATACATACTTTTTGCTAACATATTCATTTGGGTTATATTTTCACTTAAGTGTAAACATTTGTGTGCTAATTTTTGAGTTGCCAACCACTAAATTTTGAAGTATGGATTTTTGTGTATGCAACATAAGCTAGCAAGTCCAAATTGTATATTTGTCTAAAAATTCTGATATACTTCTTATCCAACCTAAGGATCATCCATCAGTAGGATTGTGGATGGCAGATACTTTGGGTATCGGTGGCTCCTGATGCTTCCTATCAGATGTTAGCAACATCCCATTCATATACATAAAGACCTGAGTTGTAGATACTAACTGTTGAATAGGTAGTTATGTAGCAGTATTGCCAGAAAAACCAACCAGAGATGCTATTCTTTCTTTAACTAATCAAAGAACTGTAGGTTAGGATGGAAGAATAGGACAAGCCAAGCCAAGTGTTTTTATTTCTTTTTACATGTAATTAATATTCATTACTCAGACTTATAGTCTGTTTTAGTGTTCCATCTCTCTAACAAGTTTTAAAAATGCAAAAATCTCAATACTAATAAAAAATCCTAATTCATTGAGAAAACATTCTTCCATAGTAAACAGTCACAGCCTGCAGGAGAGCTATCTCCACTCCGGTCCCTGAAGACATCCCGGAACAACTGGATGTCGATGCCTTTCCTGAATTCAACATTTGGTAGATGGCCTTGCACAGTTCGTCCAAATATTTGTTTCCATTCAAAGTGGCTACTCCCAAAACTATTCATTAAGATATTAGTTTTTCTCCAATGAACTTTACATTTATCTGAGTAAATATTTAAACCACATGTCTGAGCATTTTTACCTGATAAATAGTGAAAACTTTTATTTGGAGAATTGAAAAGGGTAATGGGTCTGGATACCATTAAGCTGAATCTAATTAGGGCAAAACAAAGTTCAGATATAGTTTGCATTCTTTAAGGCTGTCCCAACCCCAAAATTTGGGTAGGCTAGCCAAAAGCAAGAACAAAGCTTGTAATAAAGCTTTGATTAGATATTCTTTTCCAGTGTAGTCTTGGCCAATGCTCTGTGCTACCACGCAGGAAGAAGATGATGAGCTCTTGAGTCCCACAACCCACAACTGTTGAAAATCAGGATGAAATTTGAAAAATCTGAGAGTGTCAGTTTTATAAAATATTTATAAATGGATGGTAGGTTAATGTGACTGAAATAGAGTCTTGGGGAGTTGGGTGGCATATACATTTTAATAATAACGATGTGTATTTGAAAGAAAATTGCATTAAGGCCATTAGATCAGGCATCCTTAGTCTTTTAAGTGACAGTGCATATATATGTATTTGTGTATAAATGTGTGAGTAAGCATATAAATGTGTGGCTATAAAGAAGACTCAACTCACTGTTAGAGAAAATGTATTTCCCTGGTATCCAGTTTGATACCAATGCTGGACAAGATAAATACACTGGAAAATAATAATTAAACTTATCCTTGATTGATGATATCAATGATATTGGATATCATTGGATAACCAATGATATCCAATATCATTGATTCTGAATTACTGTAAGTCTGCAAGACCATAAAGAAGTTAAATACATTGCCTTGGTTAACATTAAATATTTTCTATATCCCGCCAGACTAATTTGCCAATAGATTAGAAGGAAGCTGCTGCCTATGCTTGCAGGTTTAAGGGGAGTTTGCAGAAAAATAAATGAATAAAAGAAATTACAAAATTGGAAAAAACATGTCAGGGTTAGTATAGCGTGTCATTCAAATAAGCTTCTGGGACTTTGCACGTTGTTTGTTCCATGTTGTAGTAGTAGTAAGAAATGGGAAATTATTTTTTCTCAAACTTGAGCTTTTACAGTGTTGAAACTCCCCATATGTGCCCACATCTATACACAGATACACAGACATAGAAAAAAGTCTCCATTGTGCTTTTCTTAGTAGTAAGCAAATTGTTTTTAGAAACCCTGGGCTCACTCTAACACCCTCTTTTCAGCATTCTTACAGGATAGATATCACGAACTCCCCACGGCACATTGTCGCTGCCTCTGTGGCACACCAGAGGGAGAATCGATAGCACATGTTCTTTTATATTGCAGGTTTTGTATAACATTATAACAAAACCTTATTTTTCCCTTTCTAGCAGCAATCCTTGGACAATCAGATAGCTTCCGTGTTGATTTTCTGCTCGCTGATAAGGTTTTTATACAACCTACAACATTGCGAGTTTTGTTATTTACCATCAAGGCTTTGGCAGAGACTCCATAGTAGGATTTAGGATGGATTGCTGTATATGCTTATTTGTGTTTATCTCTTTTTATTTCTCTCTCTCTATTTGCTGGCTAAAGGCCACTGTAGAGTCGAAACTGAATGGAATAGAATGCCATGTTTAAAGTGACAGACTAAGGATAAGGAACCTGGGATAGCCTCTGTTTGGCTACCATCTTTCAGCTTAACTTGTGAGGCTGAGTTGATGTGAGGACAGAATGGGAGGGTACAGAGCCATGTCCCACCCTGTGCTTCCTGGAAAGAGGGTTAAATAAATGAGAAATAAATATTTAGAGGAAGCTTTAAAACACCTTCTCTGGACTGGGGCTTGCTTGTGTGTTAAATCAGAATTCCCACTGTCCCTAGTCAGGATGGCCCACTGTCATTGTTAGCTAGAGATGGTAGTGTCAAGGCTGGCTTAAAAGACCTTGTGAAAAGGAAAATTGTGCATTGCAAGAACAAATTGTTTTCATGTTGTGATCTCACAAAGGCCTCAGTGCTGGAATCAGTCAAAAGAAGGGAAACCAGAGAAATAAGCAGAGAAGCAACATGCTTCTGGGAACAACCAATTTCTTGTTGCACCAAGGACTTAGATATTCACTGTTCTGTTTCCCCCATGGGTAGACTCAAACATTATTGCCTTTTCAAATTTCAGCAGTTTAGAGTTGCCTATTCCCTCCCTGGGATGAATCATTTGTCTTTATTGCATTGAAATGTAATACTAACTCCAGTATTGCACATCACGTTTACAATCCATAAGGACGTAACCATCTCTTTGCAAAAATAATGATGCTTGCTTTCTTTTTTATTTTTCTGCCTAAATAAAATCCTTCAGTGCAACAACCTGGGTGAGTATTTGTGTTTGCAGTATGTGCATATGCACACAGAGGTGCATACGCACGCACACACACGCACGCACACACACATAGACGCACACTCACAGAAGTCCATACTTTGCCTGGCTGCAAGACTATTTAGTTGGTGGGCGTGAAAAATAGGTGGTATTTACTTCAATCGCATAATCAGACTTTAAATGCTTTATTTGATCCTCATGCAGAAAGAAAAGAAGAGTGGACTCTTAAAACTTCTAGCAGGAGCATCAACAAAAAAGAAACCCCGCTCTCCTCCCTCGGTGTCTCCAACACACGACCCAATGGCAATAGTGGAAGGGATGCTACAAGGTGCAATGGGACCAGAGCTGTCCTCTCTCTCTAGCCATGGGAGGGCAGGATCGTGCCCTATAGAAAGTGAAATGCAAGGAGCAATGGAGATGGAACCTCTGCACAGAAAGACGGGGTCTTTGGATTTGAATTTTTCTATTCCTTCTCCCATAAGGCAACTGCCCCCTTCAGTGGCAACCAGCCACCCAGAAGCTAAGCCGTTGTCTCGAGAAAGGTAAGTCATTAAGCACAAATATGATGCAATGAAAATTCCTCATTTGCATACCTACATTTTCAAATACTTTCAATTCAGGCCAATTTTTTTAGATCGCAGCACAGGAACAATGCTAGTATTTGCAGTTTGTTTTGCTTTTTTTTTTTTTTTTTACTATTATCAAAGCAGATCAATAAGAATTCTTCCAGGGCAGAAAGCAGAGAGACCAATCCATCCCCCTGATTGTAGTATTGGGGGTGGGGAGAATGATCAAAATAATAATGTTCCATTTGTAGTCGTCAGGATGGAAGTGAAACCAATACTTTGATTGCCTGTCAAGTCTGAGAATAACCTCTAACTTGAATTGTACTCAGGAATCAAGATTTTCTATAATTGATTTATTAATTAAATCAATTCATATTCCTGGTTAATCTTTGTCCCCTAGCAGATCATGTTTTTTAATCAATAAGTGAGGAATATTAATTTCATCTTCATATGAGGAGCTTAGTCTTGGAATTACTTGAGCTGCTACATTAGTCTGGAAGTTCATTCCACATTCTCATAAATATAAAAGTACCTTTTAAAAATTGTGTATCCAAAGCTGCATGTCATATCTGATCCACAATGAAGAGTCACTGCCAGTTTACAACATGACACCAGGCACCACCATGTATACCCAAATACAGGTAGTCCTCGCTTAACCACAACAGGGACTGGAAAATTGTTTGTCAAGTGGGGCGGTTGTTAAGCAAGTCACTACGTGACTGAGCCCCATTTTACAACCTTTTTTACAACGGTTGTTAAGCAAATCCAGCTTCCCCAATGGATGTTTTTTACTGGAATTCACTTAACAACTATGTGATTTGCTTAACGACCATGTGATTCACTTAATGACTTGTAAAAAAGGTCACAAAGCACAATCATGTGACTGCAGGAAGGTGGTGCGATGGTTTGGGATGGTTGTAAGTGTGAGTACAGGTCGTAAAGCACTTATTCCAAGGCTGTTGTAACTTTGAATTGTCATTAAACAAATGGTCGTTAAGCGAGGACTACCTGTACTCTGCATTTAGAGCTTTCATATTTTATTCATAAGTATGTATATACAGTGGTACCTCTACTTACGAACGCCCCTACTTACGAAATTTTCGAGATACGACC